AGGCTTCCTTTTTGTGTTTGAGTTTGTCCAGGAGCTCCTTGTTCATCCATGCAGGCCTCCTGGTGTTTTTGCCTGACTTCCTCTTTCTTGGGATGCACTGCTCCTGAGCTTGGAGGAGGCGATCCTTAAATATTAACCAGCTTTCTTGGGCCCCTCTTCCCTCCAGGGTACTCTACCAAGCAGATCTCTGAAGAGGCCAAAGTCCACTCTCCAGTAGTCCAGCTGTGTGCCCTCCTCGATGCCCCAAGTATCTTGAACTGCACCACTTCATGGTCACTGCAGCCAAGGCTGCCCTTGAGCTTTGCTTGAACTATAAGCAAGATAGGGTGTGGATACAATGAATCAGCTGATTTATATTAATTGCACACCTACATACTCACAGTAAATACGAAAGAGATTAATTGCCTCCTTGTTGTAGGAGTAAGCTGCACTTACTCCTTCATATACTTGAACATGAGCCATGAAAAGCCACTGCTAGAATGACTCCATCTTCCAAGTTTAACTGTTAAAAAGCCTTTTTCCAAGGAGGGCTGACTCAATTTTGATTTTTCCTTAAGAGACAATGGCTTTCTTATCTTGTCTTTGGTTTATAGATTCTTTTAGTTTTGATGCAGAAAACCAATTCTTTCACTAGAATGGCAAAAAGAATAAAGAAATTATCTTCCAAGTTTATTTTGAGTTCATCTGAAAGCTGTACAAATAATTTGGGATCTATATATAATTCTGGGAATGAAATCTAGAAAGAGCTCTTAAGGTGAAGTTTTGAAATCAGGTGTCCCTTCTCCTCCTAAGTAGAGGACGTGGATTGGATCACTCCACATGGAAGCATTTGCCATGGTGTTTGAGTGTTACGTGTTCAGTGACTGTGCGATGATAGGTAGCTTTGCAGAGACCATTTAATCAGAGCTTTTACTCTAAGTGAATGCAGGAGTGCTTTCCAAATGGTGCTGTACCATTCTGGCTCTCAGCAATCAGTGAAACGGTGCGGCACCCGGCACTGGAGGAACTGACTTTTCATCAATATTTCACTAGTGCCATCCTGTGCCACGTAACTGTTTGGAGTTCTGTTCATTTCTTTGAATATTGTGGACCACATTAATAGTTGTCTGCTACCTCTTCTAGGTGCGATGACTACTTCTATATCAAGCACCGTGGCGAGCGAAGAGGGATTGGAGGCATATTTTTTGACGACGTGGACTCTCCCTCCAAGGAGGAAGTATTCCAGTTCGTGAAGAGTTGTGCCAAAGCTGTTGTGCCTTGTTACATTCCTATTGTGAAAAGGCACTGCCATGACTCCTTTACACCAGAGGAGAAGCTATGGCAGCAGCTTCGGAGAGGACGGTGAGTACTGAAGGAGTAAAAGAATACATGGGAGGTGGATTACGCTGGCGAGAAAAAAAATGAGCTAGTTCTTCTTGGTTGCAGGGTTTATGTCCTGTTGTGGTGTGAGCTAAGTTTGCGTAAGTGCTCTAAAGCTTGCAAGAGAATTTCGACATTTTTGTGTGCAGAACTATTTTTGAAATCCAATGCTAGATTGCTGGGGAGGGTGCAAAGAAGGTACTAGCACACCCTCAGCTGTATCTCCCACTCTCCCATGTTGCAGCACAAGCAACCCATACAAAACGCCATGGTTTCTCTGCAACTCCTTCAAAAACCAAGAGAAGCTGCTGCTTTGTAACAGGCAAAGGGGTGTGTGGTGTCCTGAATCCTGCCTTCTCCTGCAGCCCAGTGATGCGGGATACAGGACTGCCCCGTGACATGAGGAGCATAAGGGTGAGAGAGTCGTGCTTCCTGTTCAGTAATGAAGCTAAACCGCAGAAAGTCATGGAATAATTGTACTCAAGACTACTTTCAGCTTCTTACATACATAATTATTCTATCTGTTCCTGGCATTGAAATGAGGACGCAGTGAACTCTTTGTAAAAGGAATAAAGATACAGAGGGGTTTTGTTTTTCTGGCATGGTCCAAAGTCACTGTAACTTAAAAGACTTGAGGATGCTTACTAACGTGAACAACTGTTAATGCTGCAGAAGCTTAAGTACATTGGTAGGTACAGTTGCACTCCTTTATCTATGTCCTGTGATTGTGTAAGCAGATGGAGAAATGAGAATACATGTGCTTTGTGCAGAACTGGGGAGTCTTTAGTTTCTGCCTCTTCTGCAGAGAAATTTGTGAGAGTGGCATAGAGGAGGCATAAGCATTCAAGTTTAGATCACTGGCCTGCAGCAATTATTCAAATAAGCACATATGCTTAATTTGGTGAGGCTGTTCCTGGGAGTGTTGGCCTTTCAGGATCCTGCTAAGGTTATAAAGGGGAATAGCTTCTTTAGGTTGCAGCCAGGACCAGCTCATGAGGCCTGCTTATTTCCCTGGATCTGTTTGCAGGTTACTGGGCTAGGCTAAGCTCTCCATTTCTGCAAACAGATAAGCACTCCTCCCTTCCTGTACTTCTGTTAAGTACTAATACTTCAGTACTGGTTACTAAGATAACCCCTGCTGAATTGTCACTGCTCTGTTCCTATGCTGGGGGCAGAAAACTGTCTATTCTGGCACTTAGAAGTCCCAGCCAGCACTCTGAAGCTGTCTGACTTCTGCTGCTTTTCAGCTCTCCCCAAGAAACAAAATCTTGTTGTGACCTTGCTGCTTATGTGTCTTTCAGCACGGAGGACTGCACAGTAGAGTTTTTCCTGTGGTCATTTCCAGTTCCTTTAAGGCTCCTCTTATGTCTGACACCAGCACAAAAAGGAGTACTAGCATAACCAAGCTAAATTTGGTGTTGAGCTTGCCAGCAGGGTTGAGGCCTAGGAGAAGTAAGCTAGTATAGCACCATGCAGAATGCTCTCCTTGAATCGTTTGTCTGCTCTCGTCTGTTACTTCCTATGCTTTGTGGAGAAGCAAGGTCACACTTGCATTCCTATGCAGAGGATGCTAGAGGAGAGTTGACCCCAAACCAGGGTTCATTCTGACACCCAACACAGCAGAGAGACAGGCTGTTTTTGTTTGGTGTCTGCTAGGTGAAGGAGGCACAAACAACTTCTGATAATAAACTTGTTTTTCTGTTGCATCTCTTCACTCCCCATAGGTATGTGGAGTTCAACTTAGTTTATGACAGAGGTACAAAGTTTGGCCTCCTGACACCAGGATCAAGAATTGAAAGCATTCTTATGTCTCTGCCACTGACTGCAAGGTAAGGACATAGATACGTGGAGTTGCAGGTAGGCACTGTTCTTATTAAAATACTTTATAGGATTAAATCAAAGCTCTGTCCTGGTGTCCAGTCTCTTTAATAGCGAGTTCATGCTTAATACAAGAACTGGCCGGGTACATGCTGATGCTTCTCTGGTCTGCCACACTCGTGCAGTTGCCAGTAATGATAAAGGTATCTAGAACATAGCCTAGATATTTTCTGACAAAAAAAAAAAATTGGTATTTTTTGTGCTTGGTACCTCTCGATAGATTTCCTCTGCTCGCTCCATGGGTTTTTGTTTAGTAGCTCTTTGAAACCATGTGAGCTTATGGCAGTTCTGACAAGCCTGTGATAAGGAAGTTCCACAGTTCAATTGTGTGTTGTGTGAAAAAGTGCTTCTTTGTTTTCTACTCACACCTGATGACTTCATTTGACTTTTCAGTGAGTAACCTGATTTTTTTCCTGTTCATTTTCTCCATAACGGTTCTTATTTTACAGGCTTCTGGTTTTTTCATTGTCTGTTTTCCAGGCTGACAAGTCCCCCTCTTTTTAGTCTTTGTACAATAGCTGTTCCACACCTTTGATCACATTTCCACTCTTCTCGAGGCTTAAGTTTTCTATGCCCTTTCTGAACTGGGGGTAAGGAATAGACAACATAAGCTACGCATGTGTATCCAAGATGCAGGTGTGCTACTGACTCATACAGTAGCATAATGATGGTTTAGGTCATTATTGCTTTCGTAATCCTAATATGCTGTTTGCTGGTTTTGACTGCTGCTAAGCATTGAGCTGGCTTTTTCATAGAATTGTTACGATGCCAAGATCTTTCCTGGGAAATAAAAGTTAACTCAGTCTCTCAACGTGTATGTAACTTATTTCCTGTGTGCATCACTTCAAATGAATCAACAGTGAATTTCACCTCCCATTTTATTGCTCAGTTGCTTGGCTCGATATTAACTCTTTTCAACTGCCTTTTTAGGTCTTAACCAATCTTGCTTAATCTTGCAATATCAGCAAACTGTCATTTACTATTTATGCCGCTTTTTAGGTTCCTTTTAGATATGCTGAGTAGCACAGACCCTAACGTGAATTTCATAAGACTCCGTTAGTGATCTCCCTCCGCTAGGACAACTGACTTTTGCCTGCTACCCCTTAACCATGAAGGCAGTCCTGGTCATACTATACATCTTCATCCCACTGCCAATACCAGATGTGTCCCTCACCTGGTGGTATAGCATGGTCCTACCTTTTGATTTCATTGCTGGGATGATCTGGTTTTGCTTGTTTTCGTCAACATAAATAGCTCACTTAAGAGCATGAACGGGTCCTTCCTGGGAGAAAAAAATGCAAAAAGGTTGTACCCATCCCTTTGTGACTGCTGACACTTTTCTTCCTCTGTCATGCCTCTTAATTGCCTTTTCAATAGAAGGAGGTATGTCATCAATTTTGTTTTTAAAACCAAGATTCAGCAAGGACTTGTAGTGCTTCCAGTCCAGCTTCTGGAAAAATTAGGCCTGGGCGGCTGAAAATACTGCGTCAGGATCAAATGATAAAATTTGAAGCTAGCAATTTCCCTTAGGACTCATGTCCTCGCTCTTTTTTGTCTGGGTTCTTTTTTGGCTCATCTTCCTCGTGACACTAGTGTGTCACAAAAGACTGCTAAAAGATCTTTGCAAATAAACCTGCATGGATTGTGGGGTAGGGGGTATTGTTCTTTGTTCTTCCAGGCTTTCCAGAAGTTGGGGAAAAGATCAAGCTAACATTTCTCCTATCTCTTCCAGTGTTATTATTTGTTTTCACTGAACTTAATGATTTGTAGCCATATCTGCCTACTTGACGCGCGAGTATCAACTGTGTATGTAGCTTTGCATCCTCAGAAAAGACAAGTCAGGTCCAAACACAGCTTGGTGCGGGAGAGGTGGCAGCCAGCTGGGCAGTCTGACTGAGTTTCCCCTCTCCCTGCAGGTGGGAGTACATGCACACCCCTCCAGAGAGCTCGAAAGAAGCAGAAATCCTGGAGGTTCTGCGCAATCCCAAAGACTGGGTGCACTGACACGGATCGTGAACAAGATGGATTGCTTACACTGAGCCATTATGAAAGAACAGGAGCGCCTGCAAACCAGCTCATTCAAACTGCTGTGGCATTTCAGTATAGCTATTTATACTCTTACCTGGTGCCTTAATAATGCTGTAGACTTGTTACAACTTGCAAATATGTGAACTCATTCTTTATGATTGATCAGCTAATGTTATCACTCCCTGTTGATGTTGCCTTGTGAAGGACTGGCAGTACCTTCACAGGACTACTGTGCATGCTTAAGAACTTCCTCAGCTCATTTGTTTGACAGCAAAATGGTAAACTACTGTGAAGTGTTCTCCCACTGGAATGAAAGCATTATCTATGCCTAAACGGCACTGCTTACTCCTAGAAAATGTTGGGATGTTTTAGAATATTTTTTTTTAAAGAATAAAGGGAATATTTGATACGATTTTAAACCTTAAAGTCTGCTTTCAGGAAGTTATGAAAAAGGTGGTACTTAACTATGTAGTTTTTAAGGCCATCTACATGGACTTAGAGAAAGCATCTTAGAACGTGCTGCGGTAGCATGACTTGACTGATCAGCAGCTGGGAGATTCTGGGTTGGGGTCCCAGTCTTGCCTGATGAGAGGGGAAGGCTGCCTGTCCATTTTGAGGAGAAAATCTTTCAGCACTGCGCATCTCAGCTGCGATCAAGACAGGATAGCAACCTGCCTCGGGCCAGCTC